ATTAGCTTACGCCCTTTCTTCGCGATTCCTTTCCTGTCCTCAAGCAATTTCTTCTAGCCAATTAGCAAGCCATATTGTACCAAGTCTAATGGACAACGCGGTGTCAAAGTGGACACTAGAAATAACAATAGCAACTCAGCCTTGTTGCCCTTGCAAAGTCCTCCTTAAGGTTGGGTTAAGGCTAAAATTAGAAAGAACTATCAAGCAATAGCCTGACAGTCATACTCACAGAACTGTATCTTACAGACAGACCCAGCAAAGTTGCCCGTTCAGTTACCAGACCCTCCTGGTTTCTCAAATGCATGTAAATGCAGTCCGGTTCAAGTAAAAGATGCCTTTAGTTTGCTTGGATAGAGTCAAACTTCAGCGTTTGTTTCCTTGATAGGCTACTGTACAGAACCGAACTACATGTGACTATGTACATACATGATACTTTTTATGAATAAAAAGTATTTTGAAATAAAAAATAATCAGTAGTGGCAGGAGGAGTGCCCTCCCAGCGCCTCAATTATACATCAATCATCTTGTACAAAGAAGAAATGCCTTGGGTTTATTTGTTCTCTGTATGTAAAGACTGTACAGAATTGAAGTGGTCTAGTGACTATGTATATAAAGTTTTTTTGAATTAAGTATATTTTTGAAATTAAAAAAAAAGCAGTGGCAGGAGGAAATCTTCAACATTGAATCCTGTGAATTCTCACGACACCAGGGCAAGGAAGCCTCCCGCTGATTACAAAATGTACCACAGCCCCTCAGCTCATGAAACAGTGCATTTTTTTTTAATTTCAAAAATATACTTTAGTCATAAAAATATCTTTAGTGACCAAAGCAGTTCAGTTCTGTACAGTAGCATACGAAGAAACAAACATTGGAGTTTGACTCTATCCAGCAAGCTGATAGCATTTCTTGCTTGTACAAGTCTATATTTACATGTACTTGAGACTTTTTTTTTTGGAGGTGCGGGGAGGTGGGGGGGGTGGGAAGGATGTCCAACAACTGAATAGACCCCAATTTAACTTTGGCAGAAATACATTAGAATCAGTACTCCTCCATGTTAAGCAACACTTGGAGGAAGTACAGAGTTTCAGGGATGCAGAATAAATTTTGGATGGGAGACTTCAACATCCATCAGCAAGAGTGTTACTGCTTTTTAATATAGCAGCCCAATAATGTGAATGAAATCATGATTACACCTTTTATGTTCTTTTTCTAAAATCAACTTTATGCAACAACAAAAAACTCATTCAGATTTCAACAGCACTTTCTGTGGAAGCAAATTCTAGTCCCCGCTCGAATATTTGTCTGTGTCAGCGTCTGTCTTTGATACCTACTCTGACTCGCTTGTCTCATCTGTTTGCTCTATCCTGATAGCTATGCAAATTAATTTCCTTCAGGTGCCCATCCAGTTCCCTTTTGAAATCATTGGTCATCTCTGCTTCTACACACCTTGAATTCAACAATTTGCAAGGCATTATTAATTGCTGTGTAAAAGGTTTCTTCTTACACACTCTGACATCTTTTGCCAAAATCTTATTTGTGTGTCCTTGTCTTTGTACCTACTGCTAATGAAGATTGGTTTAGATGAATGAGGTGATGAAGAATTGTCATGACATTGCACAACTCTGTCACTCCTTGAACACAACATCTATACATGTTGCATGTAGAGCAAGTCAGCTCCCAAACTATTTCTTATGGAATTTGTTTTTCAAAAAATAAAAAAATGGAAAGGGTCTAGGATTTCCATCAAGAATATCACAACAGAATTGAGTGGCTGATCCTCTAAAATTCACACAATTTGACAATCAGCAACATGAAGTTTTAAAAGAGTGACGGAAAATGATAGGCCTGGTTCGCAAGTTAAAGTTCTATGTTGGGCCAAGGCCAATTTTGATGGTACTAGACAGGAACTTTCAAAAGTTGACTGGGGGAGGTTGTTGACAAGTGAAGGGACATCTGGCAAGTGGGAGATATCTGTATCATCAACAGCCATGGGTCAGCTGCCAGAAGACTCGAGGGTAGGTAACGTTGCACCATTATTTAAGAAAGGCTGCAAGGAAAATCGAGGGACCTACAGACTGATGAGCCTGACATCAGTAGGGGTAAGTTATTGGAGAGGATTCTGAGAGATAGGATCTATACGCATTTGGAAAGGCAAGGGCTGATTACGGACAGTCAGCATAATTTTGAGTGGGAAATGGTGTCTCACAAACTTGATTGAGTTTTTCGAAGAGGTGACTTAGAAGATTTCATAGAATCCCTACAGTGTGGAAATAGTCCTTCGGCCCAACAAGTCCACACCAACCGTCAGAGCATCCCACCCAGATCCATCCCCCTATAACCCACCTAATCTACACATTCCTAAACACTATAGGCAATTTAGCATGGCTCTCTCGTCAACTCTACTAGTTACATCTTCATAGAATTCCAACAGATTTGTCAAGCATGATTTCCCCTTCATAAATCCATGCTGACTCTGTCTGATCCTGCCACTGCTTTCTAAATGCTCTGCTATAAAATCCTCGACAATGGATTCGAGAAATTTTCCCCACTACCAATGTTAGGCCCACTGGTCTATAATTCCATTTTCTCCCTACCTCCCTTTTTGGATATTGGAGTAACATTAGCCACCCTCCAAACTGCAGGGACTGTTCCAGGGTCTTTAGAATCCTGGAAGGTGACCACCAATGCATCCACTACTTCTAGAGCTACTTCCTTAAAGTAATTTGTGATGTAGATTATCAGGCCCTGTGGATTTATCGGTATTCAATCCCAACAATTCTCTCCTAATATTGAACTCCCTCGGTTCTTCCTTCTCACTAAATCTTGCATCCTCTAACAATTCTGGTATCTGATTTGTGTCCTCTTTTGCAAAGATAGAACCAAAGTATGTATTCAGCTCCTCAGCCATTTCTTTGTCCACAATTATACATTCCCCTGTTTCTGTCTGTAGGGGACCTACATTTGTCTTTACCAATCTCTTTCTCTTCATGTACATTTAGAAAATCTTAGCATCAGTCTTTATGTTCCCTGCAAGCTTACCTTTATACTCTTATGTTCCCCTTCTTAATCAATCTGTCGGTCCCTCTTTGCTGAATTCTAAACTGTCCCCAATCTTCAGATTTATTATTTTTCTTGCCTCATCTGTATGCTTCTTCCTTGGATTGGATACTGTCTCTTATTTTCTTTGTAAATTATTGTGGTTCCCCCATGCATTCCAATTAGTGGTTATAGTGGACAGTGAAGGTGGTTATCTTAGAATACAACAGGATCTTGATCAACTGGGCTAGTGGGCCACAGAATAGCACTTGGAAATAATTTACCTAAATGGGAGGTGTTGCATTTTGCTAAGACAAATCAAGGCAGGACTTACAAGTTAATGGTAGAGGCCTGGGAGTGTTGTTGAACAGAGTCCTAGGGGTGCAGGTATATAGTTTCTTGCAAGTGGAGTCACGTGGTGGAGATGGCACACTTGCCTTCATTGGTCAGAGCACTGATACAGGAGTTGGGATGTCATGTTATGGCTGTACAAGACATTGGTAAGGCCACATTTGAAGCACTGTGTACAATTCTGGTCGCCCTGCTTATAGAAAGGATGTTATTAAGCTGGAACAGAAGAGATTTACAAGGATGTTACTGGGACTGGAGGGTTTGAGTTATAGAGAGGCTGGATAAGCCTTGGATGATCTTATATAGAGGTTTATAAAATCTTGAGGGACATAGATAAGGTGAATAGTCAAGGTCTTTTCCTAAGGTTTCGGGAGTTCAAAATTTGAGGACACAGGTTTAAGGTGAAAGGGGAAAGATTTAACTGGGACCTGAGGGGCAACTTTCTCCACACAGAGGGTGGTGTGTGCATGGAACAAGCTACCAAAGGAAGTGATAGAGGTGGGTGCAACATTTGGACAGGTACATAGTTAGGAAAGGTTTTGAGCAATATTGGCCAAACACAGGCAAATGGGACTAGTTTAGTTGAGGAAACCTCTATCTGGACAAGTTGGGTGAAGGGTCTGTTTCCATGCTGTTTGTCTATATTACTCTATGATAGCAGTTTTCTAGTTCTCTTCCTGGTGTTGAAATTCCTCTTTGGTCTGACCCCAATCACTATATCTCCACCAAGCCTAGAAACCCTTCAAGCAAGCTGAATTTCTCTATCTGACCTCAGCTGCACCCACTTAGCCCCACCAACTTTGGCCTTGCCATTAATTACCGAAGCAGCGCAATTCACTCCTTAAAAGGCATTGTGAGACTGTTACATAAAACGAAAGTTGTAGGGCTCTTCTGGTGCAGAGGTAGTATCCCAACACGCTAAGCCTGAAGACCTGGGTTCCCACATGTTCCAGAGGTGTATAATAGCATCGCTGGATAGGTAGATTGCAAGATACATAAAATGTAAGTTATAGTCAAGCAGGAATAATTCGGGTTTTACCAAGTGATTTTTTTTTTGGGGGGGGGGGGGGAAGAATTTGGTGACCAATTTTCCCGACCGCAGGCTCTCTTAATTAATTGCGTTATGATGTAATTTAGGGTTTCATGAGGTCCAACGTCTCAAGGTCTCTGCTCCATCCATCTGCCCCACTGTGTGTTGGCACCGATAGATTTGCTTCGTAGCAACAGGAAACCTGTTTTTTTGGCTAAAGACGGGGAGCTATTTGAGAGAGCTGTGGTGTGACCCTGGTCTCTAACCCAGAACCTGTTACTGTAGACAGTAGGAGAATTCAGAGTGCATACTGTACCCCCCAGCGGATATTACATTTCCTGCAGAGCAGGCTGGCTACAGTTCCACGCGAGCGGGTTTTTCTTGTGCTAATTCCCTACTAAAAATTATCACCAGCCAAAAAAAAATCCATTCCACCCACACCGTTTCGCCTGATATTTGAAGGTTTGATGCTGTATCCCACCCAGTCTCTCCTCTACTCCCATCCACCCCCGTTTGAAACGGAGTCTCTTCTAATTGCTCCCTCTCCTTGCCTTCTTGTATGTGCCTGTCGTAAAACACTCACTTTTGATGGCATTGATGAGCGAGGTGCCGTCCTTGATGACTTCCTTGATGAATTTGTTCGTCCTCTCCAGCTCTTGCTCGTAAGATTTGAGCCGCTCCCTGAAATCTGGACTGTCCAGGGAGCAATCGCTGAACTCCAGCGGAGGGTGGCCCATGTTGGATTCGCAATCTTACACCCACTCCTTTCTCGGAAATTTTTTTCACCCCACTCTTCCTCGGCTTTACCAGCCTTGTTTTAGCCGAGGGTCGGGGGTGTTTAACGCTCAGTCCTGTCTGTTCTTGGAATATGCGATTACAGCTGGATTTGTCACCGCTGATCAGCTGTTAGCGGCCGATGGAAACAATGGTTGTGGTTCTAATTGTTATCAATGTTGCCAAATGTATCCTTGCTGTTTCAAGGTTCTCTCTTCCTCAAGACGCCGGGCACTCTAAAAGCAGTGGCAGATATTTACAGACCTTGCCAGTTTGCCCCCACCCTTTCCTCCTCTAACAACCAACCCTCTATCTCTATGTCCTGCTGCAGGAGCTCATCCCTGGGATATCACACCCACAAACGAATCGCATCACCTCCCGGGGCGCTCTGCAGTTTGCAGCGCTCCCGTCACCGTCATAGCAAGAAGGCGGAGCGGAGAGAGGAAAAGGAGGAGAGAGAGGTTGGAACTTTTAACACATACCACACTGAGGCTTCTGACAGCTCACACTCGTATGCGAGATTCTCTTAATAGTTTCAAATTGCAACTTAATTCAAGGCAGTTTCGGTCTGTTATTTAAAAAAAAAAGGAAGTTTTTGCGAGGTTGTTTCGCTCTCTTTGTGGTCAGGTCAATTACCTTTTGGTTTTCTACTTTGTTCGTCACTTGAAAAAAAAACTGGAGGAACCAATATATGAGAAATTCTCTAATTAGAAGGTTCAGAAGTGGTTAACAGTCACTTCGTGACTGAATCAATGAGTGCAGGAGAGTCCCATCCTGGGTAAACTCGTTCACAGCAAAGGAGTGTTATTGGTATTAGGGAAGTTGGCATTTTAGATTTTTGGGCACAATGTCTTGTTTGGCGAATAATGGTCGGATTTCATTACTTCCAGGCTTAAAATTATTAGCTGTGTGACACTTTAACACTCTCTCCTTGTCTACAGGTTTAATACACACATACATAACACGACCAGACAAGGTGCCAAATGCTACCCCAACTCCAGGAAGGCCCAATGTGCAATGTGCAATACACATTTTTCCACAAGCATCAGAGTTCTTTTTACAGCATAGAAAGAAGGCCTTCAGCCCATTGTATCCATGCTGATCATGTAATATCTATCTATTCTAATCCCAAGTTCCAGCACATGACCCAAAGCCTTCAATGCTATGACATTTCAAGTGCTCATCAAAATAGCTCTTAAATTTCTTGAGGGTTCCTACCTCTTTTTTTTTTATCCTTTTAAGGCAGTGACTTCACGAACAACTGAATGAAAATTTATTCCTAAAATCCCTTTCAAACACCCTGCTCCTTATCTTAAAACCATGCCCCATGATTGTTAACCCCCTCTACTAAAGGAGAGAAGTTCCCCATCTATCATCTATGCCCCTCAGAACTTAGTACACCTTGATCATATCTGTCTTCTTTGCTCCAGGAAAAAAACAACCCTAACGTTGAAATGCAGCAGGTCTGGCACTTCCTGTAGAAAAAGAAACAAAGTTAACATCGAGTCCAGTGATTCTTCGTCATAATTGGTAAATCTTTTCTGCATCCTCTCCAATGCAATCCCACTTTTCCTATAGTGTGGTGACTAAAACTCCACACAGTACTCACTTAACATCATCTACAGCTCCACCATAGCCTCCTTGCTCTTGTATTCAATTCCTTGACTAATAAAAGCAAATATTCCATATGCCTTCTTAACTACCTTATCTACCTGTCTTACTGTTTTCAAGGATCCGTGGGTATGCCTACCAAGGTCCTTCTAATCCTCTGTACTTTCCAGGGTCCTACTATTCAATGTGTACTCCCTTGCCTGTTAGTCCTCCCAAAATACATCACCTCACAAATTCCATTTGCCACTCTTCAGCCCATCTATATCATTTTGTAGCCCAAGGCTCTTGTCATTGCTATTTACCACACCATAGATTTTTGTAACATCTGTAAGCTTACTGATCATATCTCCTACATTCATGTCTAGATCATTAAATATGCACACAAACAGCAATGGACCCAGCACTCAACATCTCCTTCCAATCATAAAAACACCCTCTGATAATTGCATCCTGCTCCCTGCCACCAAGTCAATTTTAGATCCAATTTACCAATTACACAGCATTCCATGAGCTCTTAGCTCTTTAACAAGTCAGCCACATCGTACCTTGTCAAAAGCATTACTGAAGTCCACACAGACTATATCAACCACATTACCCCCATCTACACCAAATCACCTCCTCAAAAATTCAATCAAATTTATTAAACATGAATCCTTTTGTCACAAAAATAAGTGACCCCCTCCAATTTTCCCCCTTCACTCTGTCATGGGATGAGGACATCTAGGTAAAACCAGCATTAGTTTTCCATGCCTATTTGTCTTTACAGAATGATGTGTTAGGTCATTTCAAAGTTGAGTCAACCACATTGCTGTGGCTCTGAAGTCACACATATGCCAGATTGGGTAAAGAAGGCAGATTTTCTTCCCAGAGGACATTATTGAGCATGATAGGTTTTTACGGCCTTGCATGACAGTTTAAGTCACATAGTTTTTACAGCATGGGAGAGAGGCTGTTCAGCCCCATGTGTCCATGCTGGTCATCAAACATTCAACTAGTCTCGTCCCACAGTTCTCAATCGTAATTACTAAGATAAGCTTTAAGCAGATTTATTAATTCAGATGGTCTGGTGGGATTTGAACCTATGCCCCAGAGCATTAGTCTGTGAATTGTTACTACTTGAATTACAACTCCACTGATATTATGCCACCCTCTCATTTAAGGACAATGCTAAAGTCCATCTGTACTACTACCCTCTGGTACATTGGCCAAAGTGATCAGTGTTCCTGTTCATAATTTCCCAGCATCCTTGGCGATAATCCAGCCATCTTCATGCTGTTCTCAGCATTGTTCCATGCTCATTCCCCTCCATGGCAAAAGCCACACTTTACTTTTGTCTCCTGGTCACTCTGGGTCCATCTCTAACTGGCACGTATGTGCTTATTCTAGACCATGACACCACTCCTTTCTCCAGTACCACCACAGTGCCTTGTGGGATTATTCACCAATAAAGCCTGCACATTGTGTATATTACATTGTGCAACCTTTGAAAAGTCTCTACACACCCCTGGGAGACTGTAGTGTGAGTTCAAGAACCACTTACACAATGCATCATAGCAGAGACTCATTTGTTGTTATTTGACATGCAGTGCATAATTCAGAACAGAGTTATCTTGAATTGATCAGGAACTGGAATACTGCACCAGTGCTCAAGCAAACAGGCAGCTGGTTTGCGATGCAAAGTGATGCTAACAGCACAGATTCAATTCCCGCACCAGCTGAGGTTACTACGATGGTCCCACCTTCTCAACCTTGTCCCTCGCCTGAGGCATGGTGACCCTCAAGTTAAATGACCACCTGTTTTCTCTCTCTAATGAGATAGCAGTCTATAAGATAGCCTATAAACTATAATAACATCCCAAATTAAATAAACCACAGCCCTTTAAATACTCCGTGATTACTTTGGAGACACAGCTTTTAAAACTAATTGATTTATGGAAATATATGCACAGTGCACTCTGTAGGTTTACCACACAGAGCAAAGAACAATACACAGCTCCACAGAATATGGTTAATTATAGAATCGTAAACTTCACCACAAAAGGAAACGACTTGTCCACCAATCATCTGTTATACACATCAGGGTTATCTCATTTCCTTGCTTTATCCCTTTTTTAAACAACTCTTTGTTTGAGTTTTTTTTCTAATTCTTTCTTAAATATAATGGTTGACATTTCAATGGCTACACGTGGTAATGCAATCTAATTTCTAATAACTACGTGCATGTAAGAATCTATTTGAGTGTCCCTCCTTTTCTCCCTGTTTAATCTAGCAGCACTAATATTTCAACAAGTACAAGGAGCCTGTGGATCTCTGTCACTAAGATTGAGACTTTCCTTTCATCTGCCTCAGCTGTTACTTGTCCTTTCCAAGCCCACCAAAACAAGCCTTCCCAACACCCTAATCCATTTTTTTCTTGTCCCTCTCTCCTCACCCTTTCTGAGCTTGTCTTGTCTATGAGACTCATTTCCTGTCCCCTCAGACCCATTCTCTCTCAAAAGAAAATTTAAGTCACTTAACCTCTTCCTAACACTAATGGGAGCTGGCATGTCAAATGCTTCCCTCTTCTTGAGTGCTGTTGCCCATCTTTTCGAAATTGCCACTGTCAATACCCACCTCCCTGCCTCAAAATAAAAACATTTCTACACACTATCCTTGTAAATGTATACCACAACCCCAATCTCCTTTTCCTCTCCAAAGTCAAGTTCATCTTCACAACTTCCAATTAGATTTTGGAGCCTGTCATTGAACTGACACTAACAAACAAAAGGAAACACAGAGACCTAGGGGTTCATGTACATAATTCCTTGAAGTTTGTGTCACATGTAGACAGGATGATTAAGAAGGCATTTAGCACATTTGCCTTCATTGCTCAAACCTTTGAGTATAGGAGTTTGTGAGGCCTCTTCTGGAGTACTGTGTCCAGTTCTGGTCACCCTGTTATAGGAACGATATTATTAAGCTAGAGAGGGTTCCAAAAAGTTTTACAAGGATGTTGCCAGGAATGGAGGGTTTGAATTAAAAGGAGAGGCTGGATAGGCTGGGACATTTTTCACTGGAGCGTCAGATTTGAGACGTGAGTTTACAGAGGTTTGTAAAATCATGAGGAGTATAGATAAGGTGAATGGCAAGTGTCTTTTCCCTAGAGTATGGGATTTCAAGACTAGGGGTGCATATTTTTAATGTAATAAGAGAAAGATTTAAAGACATGAGGGGCAACCTTTTTGCACAGTGCATGGTTTGAAAGTGGAATGAACTTCCAGAGGAAGTGGTGGATACAGGTACAGTAACAACATTTAAAAGTCATTTGGATAAGTATATAAATAAAAAATGCTTGGAGGGATATGGGCCAAGTGCAGGCAGGTGGGACTAGTTTAGTTTGGGATTGTGGTCGACATGGAGTGGTTGGACTGAAGGGTCTGTTTCCATGCTGTCTGACTCTATGACTCTATGACATTATAATTTTATAATTGTGATCAGTGTTTTATACCTCCTCATTGCCTTTGCAGCCTTCATCTGGTTGACTACACAATTAATAACATACTTACTAATATATAGTGTACACAGTATTATTTATTATATATTTACTCAATACACTGCTATAATATACTTCCTATTCTGTCCAGCTCAGAGGTAACATTCCCTCTAATCTTTGCATTGCTCAGGTCTAATACCTTGGTAACTACACAATTGATCGCCCAATCGTTTCTCCTCCAAACTCCCCAACTAAGCCCATAAATACCTCTCCCAACCACCCCTGACCTTCCTAAATAACCCCTGAACCAAATCCATTCTCCGCCACAACCAGACCTGTCTGT